TCCGAAGATGGTTTGAGGCAGTGAGTTCGTTCTTCGTAAGCTCGTTGTTATAGAACATTGGTTTGAGGCAGTAAGCTCGTTCTTAAGGTGACCTTTTCAAACGTCAAATATCATTACTGGCATGCAGTTGATCGTCGATGCTGCCATCACGATGTCCATGAGCGTGCCAGCGAACCCCCCTCATAAAACGCTTGAGTTTATTCGCGAAACGGGCTTTACCCTCCATAGCATACAAAGCCCATGACTATGAGTGGGATAAACCCAATAGCTATATTCATGTGAAAGTCTGCCAAGCCGTGTATGCCTTTCATACAGACAAGAGTACTTTGGACGCATAATTGATGAACGTGCTAGACAATGGAACCAAAATGAAATGCAATGATATGGTCGGCAATGCACAATTTAAAAGGTGTGCGCTTAGGTTGTGCACAACTAGTTTACCAACAACAGATCACGCATTGCAAAGGCATATGAACAGAAAAGGTAAGTAATGATAAAGCCAGCAGGAACTCAGGTCTCGTGAGAGCCATCACATGCCAGGCAGCCTCACCAGTCATAGCGTGACAGCTAACCACGCCAGGACCGGTGCAGCAGTGGCTGTTCCAGCTGGAGCCGGCGTGGTGACCGGAGCCCATGGGCAGAGACTGAGCTCGATGGAACCAGTGCAATGGCTCACCTCTCCGAATGCCTACTAAAAACAGTCTCACCTTAGTCAGAGCATTGCCCATTTTGTAGAAAGACTTTCCTGTGGTTTCTTGTGGATATAAAAAGACAGTATTCAACACAGCCTCACGAGGGGTCTGAAGTAGCTTCGGTGTGACTATTCTAAATGTCTTCCAGGACAAATTAAGCTCTTTGACCAATGGTATGTTTTTTTCATTAATTCAACGTGACCAATGGCCGCGTTGTAAATTATCCCACATGGAAGTTTTTGGGATGTCACGAGGCAATCTCATAAGTGCCTTTAAAACAGTCCAAAAATGAATCTCCAAAAACTACAAAAGCTACAACAAAAACTACATACTGGCACGCCCCTTTTGCAGAGTTGACACAGTTTGGAGGTAATTGACCTATACTGACCTAACCCTATGTATGTAACCCTATGTAGCCCTATGTAACTGACCTAACCATACATATGCTTTTTCTTGAAGAATTGTGACGCATTAGTGTTAGAGCGCTAAAGTGCAGAGTGTTAACTGGCCCGCTAAAACGACCTGAGTTTTTGTTGTACCAGTGTAGTTATGTTTGGACGTGATTCATGGTCACAGATTCACTACACCCGGCCAAAAACGGAGTTCCCGCGTGGCATCTGTAACGAGTGTTGACTCCCCGGATGGCGAGGAGGAGGCCGCACCGCTTCCCCCCCCCCCCCCCAACACCTCATCCCACCGCACACCTCATGTGTCATGTGCCATGTGACCGGTCATGTGACCTATGGCCTCTTTGTATGGGCAAACGCCAACCCGCCCCCACGTCCGTAGCTGCCCGTCTACTTACTGGTGGCTAAGGTGCCAATTCATCTAGAATCGACCAACAGCATTCGTTCACATCCCCCCCCCCCCCCCAATGCAGTAGACGGCGTAAGCCATGGCGCTCCATGGCGTGAGCCATCACGGTGGTGACGGTCCACGCGAGGATCCCGTGCTCCGCGAGCGGCACGCCGCCGGGCTCCGCCGCTGGCCGATTGCTCAGTGTGGCGAGGCTCGACTGTAAACAGCTGACGGGGCGGGCTGAAGACGGCTGTCCGTCGCCGACCGATGGCCCTGTGTGGCGGGGCTATGAGCAGCTGACGGGGCGGGCTGAAGACGGCTGTTCGTCGCCGACCGATGGCCCTGTGTGGCGGGCTATGAGCACTGACGGGGCGGGCTGAAGACGGCTGTCCGTCGCCGACCGATGGCCCTGTGTGGCGGAGCTGTGAGCAGCTGACGGGGCGGGCTGAAGACGGCTGTCCGTCGCCGACCGATGGCCCTGTGTGGCGGGGCTATGAGCAGCTGACGGGGCGGGCTGAAGACGGCTGTCCTCGCCGACCGATGGCCCTGTGTGGCGGTGCTATGAGCAGCTGACGGGGCGGGCTGAAGACGGCTGTCCGTCGCCGACCGATGGCCCCTGTGTGGCGGGGCTATGAGCAGCTGACGGGGCGGGCTGAAGACGGCTGTCCGCTGCTGGCGGAAAGCTCGAGCCAGCCGGCGCTGGCGCCTGTGGTCTGATTCGCCCCACCTCGCTCCGAGGCCAGTGAAAGCATTGTCGGGGGGGGGGGGGAAGGGGGGAGGGAAGCAAATATTTCTCTGACTGCGACAACCTTCGGTGCCCGACTACACCTGACTTCAAACGCTCACGCCGCCCACGGAGGAGCGCATCCGGCAAATGAACGGAAATTTGGCACCGGTGAATCACTCCGGAAACCAGTGCACCAGTTATCCTGATGGAGGCATGCAAGAGTGGCTAGTGCTTTTGGTGGGCTTTCCATGTGTAATCACTGGACGTGGCGCCCACACAACATATAAAAGTCGAATACTAGGCGCATAGTCAAACACGGTCTCGCTGTTGATACTGGATGATCTGTGGGTTATGCGCCAGGAAAATGGGGCGCCGGGGGTGTGAACAGGAATGCCATCTCTCATGATACTGAGAACTGAGATAGCTAGATCGTAGCGCACGGAAAGATATTCACAACAACTTTATCAGAGCCCGACATGTCTGCAGTTCCTTAGCTCAGAAGCAATTAGTTTACTGTACATGCCATTCATAGAACGAGCCTAGTATGACATTATATGCAATGACGACATACTGTGGCGGAGGGGGTGCGATTGGCAGATGAACGAAATGCGCTTTGCTGCGGCAACTGGCCGTGGCATAAGCATCATCGCGCGCACAACATCTTCCTTCGGTCTTTTTTTACAAGCACACAGTTATTAAGTGTGTGGATAGAGGTCCATTGCTCCCATCGTCACAGGAGGCACCTATATGACGGCAATGAAGTGAGGAAAAGGTGCAAAACACTGCTTAACCAATTTGCGAATAAATAGGTATCATTGCCGTCGTCTGAGATTACGGCCCATATAGCTCCGATTTATTTGAGGAATGACGTTTGTCGAAAACGTCATACAGAGAGCTGTTTTTGTAATCGACGAACTACGAATGTCAAAGAATGTACGGTTGAAGAACTGCCACTGGAAAGGACATTCAAACAATGGACAGTGAACGGACATGACGTCTCGTAGTGGGCGTCTTTTGCAGTAGGACGCAAGGGTCTAATCTCTCGGTTTGAAAATTTATGTTGTGAATATTTTATGACAACAGTTCTTTTTACACGTTCCGCACTTTTCTGGCTACCAGATACGCCAAAAGATAAAACACCTCCTTTAAATGAATATAAAAAACGATGCGCACGAATAGATTGACACGCATGCACAGATCATCCGAGTGTAACCGCAAAAGATGATCAGTAGATGTTTGCAGCCGGCTGATTTTGAAATAAACTCGCCTCTCGTGACAGGTGCCGCACGACAAGGGCTTCACAAACAAAAAATGACGGATAATGCAAGAAGCATCTTAGTTGCACAACAGACATTACCGTGCCTTTATTCGACAAGCCATACCTACCCTGTTATAGACGGACACACACACTAACTCCGTGCCTCTGTCAGTACTTTGAATGATGACGCGGACATGATACAGGTGATGATAAATCCTCATTCAACTTAAGATGACGTGGAAGGGCGATGCACATGTTTAGGTCCCTCCAGCTCTGGAGCAGCGCAGCCTGTCCTTGATGCGTGTTAAGAACATGGCCGTATAACAATGCACTCGACTCGGTGCTGTAGGTACACCGGTCTGTGAACGTTACATTAGCTGAAGCATGGCGTTCCCATAAATGAGAGACTGCAAGCGACATAGCCATCGTCTATCCCGTCTTTTGATATCAGTCGACCTTTAGCGCAGCCGACGCCACCGGCCGCAAGTTATCCCACCCAAGAGCAAAAGACAGGCGCGTAAGCGACGAACCCCAGCCTGCCAAGGGTCGCGGTCGCTTCGACTGCGCGGTCATATAGCGCGCCAGTGGTAGACAAAGCGGAAGACAGGCACTGTGACCGGTTTAGTCATTGGGGCGGACAAATATCATAACAATAACATGTCAGCTCTGGGTATAACACAAAAAAGACCTCAGGCATTAAACATTGTTTTCATTTTTCATGCCTTTTTGCTAATAAAGTGATGCTGCGCTATCAGCATTTCTCAGGTAGCCTAACTAGATGTGTACTCGAGGCTGACGTCATGACGCGTTCCATAAACGTCCCTGCTAAGTTCCTTGATGCTGGATCCCAGGGACATGAGGATCTAAAGAAACCTGCGAATGTGCTACATCATACATGGATGTCTCAAAACCACCAGAGATCATCGGGAGGGCTCTATGATTCCGAGAGGGTGAAAGGCTTTAGCATTTCCGTTAACGCAAAAATTCTTAAGGGAGTCAATGGACCTCCCCGACCTCTATGATTACGCTTGCGGTCTATACAGTGTACAGACCACCAGTCTGGCCGGGGCCAGCGTCCATAGTGATTCAAGCTCATGACAAATCAAACATTCCTGTGCTATCGTGGGAGAAACAAGGGGAGGTTGAAAATACAGTATATCAGGAAAGCAGGAACAAATATACCTATCAGGAAAGACGAGCGCTTACGGATGGAGGAAAACTCCAACGGAAAATCCGGCACCGTGGATCCTCCATCAGACAACGGCTCCTCGCCCCAAGCACTTTGTATTAAATCCTTGCGGCGCCAATTCGTGGGCTGTTACCAATCATGCCGTTGACGTCCCTTGATCACGACTTATACCGCTGGCAATGCCTGAGTTCACGACGCTCGCGCACTCCTCCTGGCTTACAGCTGAAGCCTGGCCACCCCAGCATTCAGCAAAGCCTGTAGTCAACTGGGCTAGACACACTGGGGCGTCCAGTTGGAGCCCCGCCCGGCGGCTGCAGCAGTCACAATCCTACTCACCTGCGTCGGCGGGCAGCCAGGGCTTCCAGAAGTCGGCCAAGGCGCTGTAGAGCCAGGCGACGCTGAAGCCATCCCGCCACACCTCGGGAGGCGGAAAACTGTCGAGTAAGACGGACACGGTCAGGGACGAGGGAGAGGGGCCGTCGCGCAAGACAGACATGGCCAGGGACGAGGGAGACGGACTGCCGAACAAGACAGACACGGCCAGGGACGAGGGGAGGGACCCTCGCGCAAGACAGACACGGCCAGGGACGAGGGAGACGGACTGCCGAACATGACAGACACGGTCAGGGACGAGGAAAGGGACCGTCGCGCAAGACAGACACGGCTGGGGAGGAGGAGAGGGACCGTCACGCAAGACAGACACGGTCAGCGGCGAGGGAGAGGGACTATCGCACAAGACAGACACGGCCAGCAACGAGGGAGACGACTGCCGAACAAGACAGACACGCTCAGGGACGAGGAGAGAGACTGCTGAGTAAGACACGCACGGTTAGGGACTGTCAAACGAGAACGAGGGGAAGTGCTGTCAAACAAGACAGACACGGTCAGGGACGAGGGAGACTGACTGCCGAACAAGACAGACGCGGCCAGGGATGAGGAGAGAGACTGTCGAGTAAGACAGGCACGGTTAGGGACAAGGAGAGAGGCTGCCCAGCAAGACAGACACGGTCAGGGACGAGGAGAGGGACTGTCGAACAAGACAGGCACGGCTCGGGACGAGGAGAGGGACTGTCGAGCAAGACAGGCACGGTAAGGGACGAGGGAGACAGACTGCCGAGTAAGACAGGCACGGATAGAGACGAGGAGAGGGGCTGCCGAGCAAGACAGACACGGTCAGGGACGAGGGAGAGGGACTGTTGACGCTAGGGCCGGAGAAACGGATTGGACATGGTCATAGTCGGGGGTAATGGAGACGTGGGGTAACACAGGCAATACGCCACATGGCCCGTGGTGTGATTTGATTGCCGAGTTGTAAGCTGCTACCCTTTTCATCAACTGACCAGTGAGACGTAAACCTTATTTAAACGGTATGAATGTCATGCAATCTGAAGATGAACGTTGTAGACTGCAAGGAACGCCTAACGCACCGAAATGCACAACATCCTAAACATTCTCCCGACCTGTCAACACAGGCGGCTTTGTTGCCGCAAATACGGGATTCTCGCGGACCATTCACTGGTTATTGTTGCAGGGAAAGGTTTGTCAAGGCGATCCTTGAATTTGCGTGTTTGACTGGTGACATTCTCGGAGGCTATCACTACAGGGCCCCTGATGCATCCAAGGCATGGGAATGCCTACCACTTTGCATTACACTTGAAAGTGCTAATTGGTCACCCTAAGCTTACAATAGAGGGTCATCCGTCAAAGTTGAAAGCCATGATGTCAAAAGTCTAAAGTAAAAAAGTTATAAAGTCAAAGCTGTACCCGAAGGGAGGCATTCCTCATTCATTAACACTTTAACACTAAATGACAGACTGAGCGATGAACATGAGAAGATGATCATCATCAACAAAATATTGTAGCATGGAAAGGTGAACAATGGGCGATAATTGAGATGATAAATCATGGAGAACGTACATGAGTCCCCTGTGTCCCGTCCGCTCCACACCAAGCGTTGGTTGCGCTGTCCTATCTATTCTGCATCGCTTGCCTACACGCACTGGCCGTGTCCGCGCACTTTTCCATCGGCTAAGCTTACTGGTTGATCTCCGGTTCTCAGCGACCGGGGCCCACCTGTTGATCTCCGCTTCTCAGCGACCGGGCCCACCTGTTGATCTCCGCCTCTCAGCGGTCTGGCCCACCTATTGATCTTTTTTCGGCGGTCCGACCCACCTGTTGATCTCCGTTTCTCAGCAATCTGACCCACCTGTTGATCTCTGCCTTTCAGCGGTCTGGCCCACCTGTTGATCTCTTTTTTCGGCGGTCTGACCCACCTGTTGATCTCTGCTTCTCAGCGGTCGGGTCTACCTGCTGATCTCTGCTTCTCAGTGGTCTGACCCACCTGCTGATCTCCGTCTCTCAGCGGGGCTGGCCCACCTGTTGATTGGAGCCGAGTCGTGATTGCCGATGACCGGAAACACGGGCACGCCGGGGAAGTAGTGTCGCAGCAGGCCGGTGATGTTGCTAGCACGAGGACAACACTTCCTGGCGCGACGTCTTCCAGCTGTCGTGCGGCGCGTTGTCGCCGGTCCACATGATGTAGGCCAGCTGGTCCTGACGACGGGCCGCGGACGGCAGCGTCAGGCAGGGCCGGGCCACCACGGGGTCAGAGGGGACCGGGCGGTGGGATCGGGCGGGACCGGATGGCGGGGTCAGGCGGGGCCGCGCGGTGGGTCAGAGGGGACCGGGCGGTGGGATCACAAAAGACCAGATGGCGGGATCAGGGAGGAGGAGGCGGACAGCGGGGTCAGGCGGGACGAGCGGCGGGGTCAGAGCGGGACCAGGCCACGTAACGTGCCACTCTGAGCCCCCAAACAAACCAAACAAACCAAACAAACCAACAAACAAACAAACAGCCGGCTCGCTAGCTGATGCATGATATCGTAAGGCGAATTAAACGTTGTCGTTGCTACAGATGGGCATGACCGAAATATTCAGTATAAAATTGATGGTTCAGGATAAAAATTGTCTATATTGCTGAAATGAGCAGGCAGTATTTGCCACATGGTATGGCGGAAGAACCTGGAGAACGACGGGGCTCTCCAAACCACACTTTTAGATGGTCTGCGACAAGAACGATCGAGGTTTGGGATGGAGGTGCGCTCCCGAGAACACGCTGCGCATCCCGAGAACACGCTGCACACCCCACATCTGAATTTCATACATCGCCGTATGGCCAAACAGTTAACGCACCTTGTGTCGCTTTGCTGCGTGATGGACCATGGACTGAACGAGCCGGAAGGGAGAGTCGCAGCGGGTGTAGTCGCCCCAGCGGCCGGCCCTGCGCGACGGGTCAGACGGAAACCCTGCCGACAGCGCCGGGCAGCGGTTACTCAGAGCAGCAGCGTCAGGCGAGACATCGGGCACGAGTGACCTCCGGCCCGGTCTCAGGTCGCGCCGGTTTTGACACCATCAGCAACGCATGCTGGTCAGTCCAGGTCCGGCCGTTGTAAAGAGGAGAGAGAGAGATAGAGAGAGAGAGAGAGAGAGAGAGAGAGAGAGAGAGAGAGAGGAGAGAGAGAGATAGATAGAAGAGAGAGAGAGAGAGAGAGAGAGAGAGAGAGAGAGAGAGAGAGAGGAGAGAGAGAGATAGAGAGAGAGAGAGAGAGAGAGAGAGAGAGAGAGAGATAGAGAGAGAGAGAGAGAGAGAAGAGAGAGAGAGAGAGAGAGAGAGAGAAGAGGAGAGAGAGGGAGAGAGAGAGAGAGAGAGAGAGAGAGAGAAGAGAGAGAAGAGAGAGAGAAAGAGAGAGAGAGAGAGAGAAGAGAGAGAAGAGATAGAGAGAAAGA